TCTTTGTTGGTGTTAGCAAACAGGATCAAGAAGTACTCATTACACCAGCACAGCAGCAGACCGTTGAAATAAAAAAGCGGGCACAACACAGCAAAGACCCATTACAGGCAAATAAATCAAATTCGGCTTATGGTAAAATAATGTTGAAGCTATGGCGTACTGATGAGGTAATTTCCCTTTTCTTCAATTTTATGTGTCGACAATTACAGTTAATATGATAGCCAATATATAAACGACTTCCAAAGCAGCTTGACTGATGTGCACAATATAAAAATGTAAGAAAAAAAGCAGAATGAAATGATTTGTGAATTTCATAGAGCCATATTTTGTTCACAATAGAACACGGAAAACAACTGAGAAAATGTAGCAGCAACATCTCCTGGAATCTGGGACAACAAAAGGCTGAAACGTAAGTGGTGCTAAAAACAACAGCAAGAGGAATGTTTTGTAACGAGTTAGGCTAACTCCCAACAGGTGAGTAACATGATTGGGGGTATAAAGAGCATCTTGGAGAGGCAGAGAAGTTCACCAAAAAAAATAGGTGTCATCGAAAGATTCAAACATTGGGAAGAAATCTTTGTGTGCAAGGGACAAGGTTAAATATCAATATCGAATGCCCACAGTTCTTAAAACATTAATACAACATTAATAAAACATTCCTGGATAATTGAGAATGCATCAAGACGAACACAAAAGGAAGTTCACAGCTTTTAGCAGCTCCCCCCCACCAGACAAACAAAGAGGCAGTTGGCAGTTAGAAATCAGCAATCCTTCACACACCCCCACTCCCCTCCAGAATTCTCAGGTAACAACCTAATTTACATATGAATGACTAGCCAATTTAGCTTCCACTTGGCTGAAGCTAAAGCCTAGCTAAAAGCCTTCCAGCCATTTGGCTGGAAGGCGGGTTTTAAAGGTAGAAAGTTAGAAGCCTGGGACTTCCAGTAGCTTAAAAAACAGGCAAGATTTTAATGTCATCGAAGTTCTGTTGTTGCAATCACTGCACAGGCTCAGCAAAACTTACAGAACACAGTTTGCTTTGCTATCCACACATAGAGATGCAGAAGAAGAAGCCATATATGAACAAACTTCTTGGTGCTGCATTAGTTCCTATGGAAGCTTGTAAATCTGAAAAGGCGCAACAGCATGGCTCTGTTGTAGAAGAGTCCAAGTGCCGAACATTCTGCCTGCAATCCAGACCTTTCACCAACTCAAAACATTTGGTACACCATAAAACATGGTAGCAACTCAGTACACTTAGACATAGTCCAAACCACCTGTTGAAGTTCAAACCGAGCACTGAAGTAGATGTGCTTCAAACAAGTGCCACTCCTGTCAGCTAACAGGAAACTGAGGCTGCTGTTCAAGTGAGCTCACCAAAATTGAACAAATATTGCCTGGTGAGTCACAATTTCTGCTGTGATGTTCAGATGGTATGCTTAGAATCTGGCATAAACAACATGAAAGAATGGATCCATGTTGCCGTGTATGAACCACTCAGGTGGGTGGTGCAATGATGGCACATTTTATTCCCTTCAGTACCAGCTGAGTGTCATTTAAATGAAACAGCCTGTCTGTTGCTGGCCAGGCTCATCCCTTTATGACCAACGTCCACCAATTTTCTGATGTCACAAAGCTCAAATCATGTTAAAGCTACAATTCTGCCTGGTCAGAGTTCAATTCATCTAAAACTGGTTTCTTGAACATAAAGCTAGTATTCAAATGGCCACCACAGCAACTAGTTACATCAACTTGCTGAATCTATGCCACAAAGAACTGAGGCAGCTCTTAAGGCAAAAGAGGGTCCAGTCCAGTACTAGCAAGACGTACGTAATGAATTTTCCTGTGAGCATATGCGTTTGCATATATAAATGAATCATGCAAACTGATTTTCTAAGTAGATAATTGATACCAAAAAAGCTTATCTCACTTTGTGTAATGATATGGCTGTGATGGTTATTGCTAGAACTGTTAACTTAGCTGGAATGCTAAGGGGAGACGTTAGCAGAACAAGGCATAACTATTGCAGGTAGTCGACCAGCATTTTGAGTTTCTTATGTTTTGGTTTATTTTTCCATTATGGATTAGCTCTTATTCTCTGGTGATACGGTTTTGATTATAATTATACTCTGATTCTTTAGCTATCTGATGATGATGATGATGATGATGATGATGATGATGATTATTATTATGATTATTATTATTATTATTATTTCTGGTTTAGGTTTTGTTATCTTGCCCTCATGTTTAGTTTAGGTTGCCTGTGCTCCCACTTCTCTGTGTTCCCTCCGTCTGTCTATGGTGTCACACTGTCTGCTTGTGAATCTGTCTGTTTAGTTCAGTGTCTTGCCTGGTTCTGTGTCTGAGTTTCCTGTTTTATTCTGAAGGTCTTTGTCTCATGTGAGTGTGTTCCGTTTACGTTTCCCCTGTTCCGTCAGCTTTGATTTCCCCCAGGTGTGTTCCCCTCCTGTTGCTCATCCCTTGATTGCTGCTATGTGTATTTAGTGTCTGTGTCTTCCCCTACTCGGCGGTGTCGCGTCGTTAACGTCTGTTCATCCTCTTACCCTCAACTAGCTGTGTGTTCTGCTTCCATGTTTCTAGTGTTTAGTCTCCTGCTCCAGTTTAGTATTTCTTTTCCAGTGTTTCAGTCCTTGGTTCCTCTGTTCAGACTTTTGTTTGTCTTTTGGTGAGTTTAGTTAGTATGAGTTTTTTCCCAGCAACAAAGCTGCACTTTAAGTTTCACTTCCGTGTCTGAGTTCTGCATTTTGGGTCCACCACTCCTGCTTGCCTGCCTGCCACACAGCAATTCATGACTAATAGTCGCGCAACACATGATATGTACAAGGCACGCACACAAGCAAAGTTAATTTTTTCAGCAGAGTTTCCAGTGTTTTGAGTTTGTTTCACTAAGGCATCTATTACATACATAAATACTTACATAAATATTTTTTTTATAAATACACTAGTTTGTATGTGCACATGACACACTTATAGCAACTTAATTATCATGTTGTTTACTCAAGTCTTAAAGGAAATAATGTTTTACTTTTGTCTTTACACAGATTTCAAGTTTAGACAGCAAATTTGTTTTTAATCAGGCAGCCCTTCTCTGAATGAGTTTTTATCAGAGAATGCCTGCCCCAGCCTCCACAGTCTCCATCATTTCACCCTGATGAAAACACAATTTTCCTTCTTTAGTTCTTTGGTCCTTCTTTAGTTTGGCCTATATTTATATATTAGTGCATTGTTAGAAGATCAACCAACCTTGTTTTGTGTGGGTTTTTTTATTTGTTTCAATTGAATCATGCAAATTTGAGACTGATTCCTTTGCTTCTTCAAAGACAATACTTAATGTCAGTTCATAAAACCTGTGCACAGTGCTTTGTGAGACAAAAAAGACAGAAAAAAAAACTTCCTTTTAACAGAGAGAAACCTCAGAGGGAACCTGGCTCAGGGAGGATAGCCATCTGTGTCAAACTGCTGCAGTGAGAGAAAAGCAAGGAAAAGAAAAGAATAAGATACAATTTAACAATGGCTTCGTGGTTAGTAATTAAGTCTACTCACTGCAGTATTAATTTGGTTGAGACATCTCTTTGCAAACAACTTACAGACAAGCTGTTTGTGGTTGTCTTCTAATTAAATTTGCAATTCATCATGGATATTGTGGGCAATGTCAAAAACACCCAGAGATTTTTTGTATGCAGAATATTAGGACATAATTATTATTTTTAAAAAGACATTTAAACTGAGATGAGTTAAAACAAAGAATAGAAACACTGCACGTGAATTTGTTTCATCTTCAACACTGGTTACGCTAATTAAGCAGTTATGATACAACTAATGCTAAGAGATGGTAACCGGTAGATTGAATAGTGCACTTTAGGGTGTCCAGTACATTGCATAGTAACATGCTGTGCGTCTTAGGTTAGAGACGTTTGACTGAACTCATTTGTTTGACAGTGTTATATTTAAATAGCTGTCTGTTTTAGAAAACCTTGTATGCACAATTAAAACTATCGTATTTCAAGTGTGGTCTGCATGACTTTAACTTTTATCTGTGATCAGACCTAACACCTCTTTATGGGCTGTCTTGATTATAAGAAATAATTCAATTGAAATTTTAATTTCTGTGCCGATGTCCTCCATGGTGACCATTCTTTACAAAGATTTTGAAATGCAAGGGAATGACACACAAATCTCTTGACCTTTGATGTCTGAGTTTAAGACTTGGTAGTTATTTTCCAGGACAGTTAAATGTTAATTTTTCACAGAAATGAATTTAAGACTTTTGAAATTTGCAAGAGACAATATCCAGGACTAAAAATACCTAACTTACTTTCTGCTGTTTTCTAATTATATGACTTGTAGCTTACACAGGATGGGTTTCAGTCATGTCTACATCACATACTGTCACAAATACTGACACTGCTCTTTGTTTATCCTTTAGATAAATGATTTACAGACCCTGCCTTATGGTAGAATGCCACTTACCTGCAGGTGACAGAAAAAAGAGGCATGCATTATATCACATTCAAAACGGTCGGTGCAAAAAGTTGAAAAGACCTGCAAAACGCAAATCAGTGCATTTCCCCCTCATTTCAGAAATGTTCTGTGAAAACTCAACATCTGTAGTATCGCAAGTAAAAGATGAGTTGCTGAAGAAGTGGACGCCTTCTTACAGGGGATCAACAGCAAAATAAGCTGACTGTCAATGCGTCATAAAGCTAAATATTGTACATGTGTGAATTAACTACTCCAATCCATTATTGACATTAAAAGTAAAGTGCAGTTAGAATTTCTTATTTTTACAGTTATTTACCAAATATTTTTTTAAATGAATGAATAAATATAAATCACTGATAGAATGAATATAAATGCAAAGCACTTCATGGAAATGTACTAGGTTTACGTTGATCATGCAGTTGAATCATATGTTTATCATAAAAATGCCCAAATTTAAAATTATCAGCTAAAAATGAAATGTTTTAATTTAAATGTACCTTAGTTTTGTCATACAAAGCGTGATTGTCCAACAGCATTCGCCGCTCCATTCGAGCAAACCTCCTCAGGTCTCTCTCAAACTGCTGTGAAAGGAAGAATCGATAGTCTGAAATTAAATACCTATTTTCCTTGTCAGCCATATGACTTTAAAAGGAAACAGCGATGTCTAAATGCATTTTGTATTCCTGGAGGACTTCTATGTCTTTTCATTATTGTTATTAGCAAGATGGTTATAGGATATGAGACTTTGCTGATATGAAATCATATTTTCATCATGTACACTTGGCCTTAGATACCAAATTGTGGTTTCAAATTGTGGTTCAAGCACCTCTAAGATGTACTGAATAACTACTAGTACATTTCTTTCTACTCACACCTTCTTCCTGCAGCTACCTAACTTTCATTCATTCTCTATAATCCTTCTTACCCTGGAGCCGCTCCAGCCAAGAAGAGTAAAGGCGTAGCGATCCACAGGTGGAGACACCAAGTCCACGCGTACAGCCCTCCAGCCTCTCCTGTCTTCCTCAGCAGTTTGGAGACCTCCCTCTACTTGGCTGTCCTCCAGACGCAGGATCAGGAAACACTTTGCAAAGTGGTCCATGGCCTCAAACCTGTGGCAGGGAAGCTTCGACTCATCAAAAGTAGAGGCCTGGTATTCACAGTAGAGAAGAATGCCCTGTAGAAAATAAAATAAGGATGTGTTCACCGGTCTTTTCCATCTGCTTCTCAAAGATACAAAACAGTTTATAAAATGTCATCTGTAATATCTTAATATGTTGACCCGGGCTTCAGAGCAACCAATACGTGCAGGCGATGTCTAAGATGCATCGCTTGCACATGTTGCAGGCTCACTGAAATAAAATAATAAAGTATTATTCTAAATAATCTGATGATTAGATGTGCAGGATAATTCTGGTTTATTTCATACAGAAATCTTAATCTAGAAATATTTTGCATAAAATAATATTAGCATGACCTATAGAACCACAATGGCCACATTAAAGGAACATTCACTGAAGTGAAAGAAACCGAACTATTAAAAACTCTAAGACTGACATAAGAATGTAACATTTGTAGTATTTTGTCCCCTTAGTCCTAATACAAAGCCACATTCTTGTCAGAATAATAATAATAAGAATAATGTCTTGTCAGCGTTCCAGTAATTAAGACGCACGGACATAAAAGCCTCCATTATTATGTGTTCCGCTGACTGGCACGAGCTATCGAATTTTGTAATTTGTATTTTAAAAAGACTCAATTACTAGAATCCTGTTCAGTGTTTAAACCTGGATCAAAAAGCACAATTAGAGTGAAATGCTTCAGTTCACGGTGAAATGTTTTTTTCTTAATAACCAACAGATTTTTTTTCCCCGTGCAAACTTCTCTGTTAATGTAGATAAGCTGGAGAGTTTTCTAATATCTTTGCCAAAAAACAGTTCAATTTGTGTTGATATAATTTGGTAAAATATTTAATTGGAAGATTTTGCTGGTGTATCATTGACAGCAGTAATCGCATCCCTGTCTTACCAAGAATTGAGTCTTTAAGCATACTGAAGCTATGAAGAGAGCCAGGTTTCATTCCCAACTCTTCAAATAAAGATATCAGATCGGGAATTTGATGTGACATTTTCCTCATTCGGTATTATTTAGCTTAAAGAGTTCCATATTGTGCATTGACCAAACTCTTTTATTTTTTCAATGCTTTACCGCCACCATATTTCTGATATTATCAAAATGGTTCAGCACAGGGTGAGTGAAGTAGTTCTCTCTGAAATCTGAATGAAATTCTAACAAAAAGTATTGCTTTACATGAACGACTTGCTTCAGAACCTGATTCTTCATAAAAGGCTGCTTAGACACAGGCCTGAGGGTATTGAAAAGACTGAGTCATGGTAATGTCTCTTTAAGCAGTGTTGGATTTTTTGCTCTTCTTAAAATAGTGAGCTGAGGAATGAGTATATTTTTCTTGACATGACAAATTGCTGCATGCTCACACTTGATGTAAATTTCACACACAAGTGTTGAAAAATATAGATGATAGCCATGTGAAACTGATGGCCAGAGAATAAGAGTTAATATTCAAAATGACTGAAGGGTCATTCACAAGAATTATTAGTAGTGAAACTTGCACACAATGATCACCTAATGGGTCTTCACCTAAACTGTGATCAATGTCAGGGTCGCATTTGTCATTTTAAGGGAAGTAACCTATGAACTCCTGATTTGTTAAGTGTCTGTTGGACAGGCTAAACATTTCTGTGCAGACCGGATTATTAAAAATTGTTTGGCCCATAAATTTAGCAAAAATATATATGGTCCCCATAGAAGGAAGGCAAGGCAAGTTTATTTGTATAGCACAATTCAACAACAAGGTGATTCAAAGTGCTTTACAGAGACATTAGAAACAAGAACAAATAAAAAGCATGATTTAAAATTGATTAAAACAAGCAAATAAACTAACTAACTAATTAACAAACAAACAAACAAACAACAGTATATAAAATCAAAACAGATAAAATCAGAACAGTAGATAAAATCAGTAGTTAAATGTAAGTTTTGAAATTTAAGCTTAAAGTGTGGATTTGGTGCTTTATTCAAATGCAGCTGAGAACAGGTGAGTCTTCAACCTGGATTTAAATAAACTGAGTGTTTCAGCTGATCTGAGGCTTTCTGGGAGTTTGTTCCAGATATAAGGAGCATAAAAGCTGAATGCAGCTTCTCCGTGTCTGGTTCTGACTCTGGGAACTGATAAAAGACCGGATCCAGATGACCTGAGGGATCTGGAAGGTTCATACTGGGTCAGGAGGTCACTGATGTATTTTGGTCCTAAACCATTCAGAGCTTTATAGGCCAGCATCAGAACTTTAAAGTCTATCCTCTGACGGACAGGCAGCCAGTGTAAAGACCTCAGAGCTGGACTGATGTGGTCCACTTTTTTGGTCTTAGTGAGGACTCGAGCAGCAGAGTTCTGAATGAGCTGTAGTTGTCTGACTGATTTTTTAGGTAGACCTGTAAAGATGCTGTTACAGTAATCAAGCCTACTAAAGATGAATGCATGGACTAGTTTTTCCAGGTCCTGTTGAGACATTAGATCTTTTATCCTTGATATATTCTTGAGGTGATAGTAAGCTGACTTTGTTATTGTCTTAATGTGTTTCTCTAAGTTTAGGTCTGCATCCATCACTACACCCAAATTTCTCGCCTGGTTTGTGGTTTTTAGATGTATAGATTGAAGTTCTCTGGTGACCTGTAATCGTTTTTCTTTGGCGCCAAAGACTATTACCTCAGTTTTGTTTTTGTTTAGCTGGAGAAAATTGTGGCACAACCAGTCATTGATTTCCTCAATGCATTTACCAAGAGCCTGTACAGGGCCTCGGTCTCCTGGTGACATTGTGATATATATTTGTGTGTCATCTGCATAGCTGTGATAGTTTATTTTGTTGTTGTTTATAATCTGTGCCAGTGGGAGCATGTAGATGTTAAACAGAAGGGGTCCCAAGATGGAACCTTGGGGAACTCCACATGTGATACTTGTCTGCTCAGATGTGAAGTTACCTATTGATACAAAGTATTTCCTGTTTTCTAAGTATGTTTTGAACCAGTTTAGTACAGTTCCTGAAAGACCTGCCCAGTTCTCCAGTCGTTTGAGTAATATGTTGTGGTCAACTGTATCAAATGCTGCACTGAGATCCAGTAAAACTAGGACTGACATTTTTCCACTGTCTGTATTCAGACATATGTCATTAAACACTTTGGTCAGAGCGGTTTCAGTGCTGTGGTTCTGTCTAAAACCTGACTGGAAGGCATCGTAGCACTTATTCTGTTTTAAGAAGTAACTGAGCTGTTGAGAAACTGCTTTTTCAATGATCTTACTTAAAGGAGGACAAATCGTAATGACTTTGGTGAGCTCTCCTGTACCATCACATCCATTAATACAATTTTCTTCCTCAAGCCAAGATGGGGAAACAAAAAATACATAAGAAGCAAGAATCATCCCACTGACCTTTACAGAACCACATGAAAAGACATGCAAAACACTTGAAATTTCCTGACATGACACATTATGTTCTTAAAGTGGTACACCTTTGTGTTTCATGTTTCACAGTTTATTGCCAGCAATGTAAAGATTTAAAATTGCCCCATCAGATTAGCTTACGTTCACATCAAGACAGCAGTGATTGAAAGAAAATAATTCTTACCTGGAACTTAAATCAGAGGTAATAATTGAATGTTAAGCATTAACCCACATAGCAAAATTGGTATGGCCCAGATCTGGCCCACACAATGTGCTTACACATGGCCCACATACCGCAAAGAATGACGGCCCTTTGGTGGCCCAGATCTGGTTTGCCAGAGGTGGCCCACACATGGGCCAGCAAAAGGCCAGTTGCAAACACACTGCTGGTTCTGTGCTGGCCCATGTGTAACCTCTGGCAAACCAGATCTGCGCCACCAAAGGACCGTCATTCTTTGTGGGATGTGGGCCATGTGTAAGTTGTGTGCAGCCACGGGCCAGTTGCAGACACACTGCTGGCCCAGAACAGTTTCAGCTCTGGCCCCAGATGTCAGCCTAATGTGTACCTTAATCAAGCCATGTAATAACAACATGTGCCAGAACATAATAGTGCAAAAGTAACATGAGGAAACTCTGTTCAGACAGTGAATGGACTGATTCCTATATAGCGCTTTTCTACTCTCATGGATTATTCATCATTATTAAGTGCTCTACACAACATGCCACAGTCACCCAATCACACACTTTCTCTAACTTGAGTGCTTCCTAACTACATTCATACACATTCACATTCTTGAGATGTAGATGGGAGGAGCCAGTGATTGAACCACTACAGCCACCCAGTGCTAAACATGAGTAAACCCTCACTAGGTTTTGGATAAAGTGTATACTCACAAACCTGTCAAACCTGCATTTGAAAGTTGGCTACCATAGCAGTATAGTATTGCAACATGGCATTTGGGTCTTCTAACTAAAATAAAATTAGGAACATAAATAGTGCCATCATTGCCAGACCTGACCCACATTTGGTTGACATACACCCTGCCATGACACCAGTCAGTCAGAAGTGCCAGCTTGATCTGGGCCAGACCTGTTTTCTATGAGCCTGGGCCACATAAAACAAACCACAGTCGGGCCAGATGTGGCATGCCATCACATAAACAGCGCCATCTGTGCCAGGCCTGGCCCATATCTGGATGACATACCACTTACATTGCCAGGAGTCAGTCAGCAGGACCGGTTTGACACCAGATCCGGGCCAGACCTGTCTGCTATGTGGGAAATATGTCTGTTTTAAATAATCTAATAGACCAGACTGAAATGACAATTTAAAACCAATTTGGTAAAGGGTGTGAAGTACAGTGATTCTATGGTTTTGAGCAAACTAATTTAAGGTTTTAATGGACAGAATGCCATGAACATTGGTATAGTCATTCACAATTTCCTTAAATTAAATGTAAATGCCTCTGAGATTTTCTGACTTCTGATGCCAGCGTGATGAGTTAGAAGTTACGTGTAATTTCCGTTCAGAAACTGTAAAAGGATTCACATCAGTGCGATCTTTACACCCACTAAAGATCGCCATTTATTGTGATGGTGTCAGCAACATTATCATGTAGTGTCAAATGTTGTGCTGAGGCATAGTCTCACAGGGCTTAGAC